CCATCAAGTAATCCATTATATGCATCAACTAAATCATTGTAAGACATTTCACATTCAAAAGAAGAGTCAAAATTAGAATTTACCTTATCCCTGTTTGCCATGAGACAAAGGATGGCTTTCTTTTCATCACTTTCGAAGCCATTTGAGTCATCATCTTCCCAAGTGGCTTGCATTGCTCTCTTCTTTTTCTTTTCCTCTTTATAGGCATGACAATCGGCTTTGAAGTGTCTCGGTTTTCCACACTGAAAACAAGTAGGGGTGTCTCGTTTGCTTTGTCCATTTGATGATTCACCCTTTTTGAACCTTCATTTGTTGAATTTCTTCCTATGAAGGAATCTTTTGAAGGATTGAGTGATGAGAGCCAGATCATCGTTTTCATTTTCGTTATCTGCAACTTCCTTTTCTATTTGAGATGCTTTGAGAGCAATTTCCTTCTTTCGATGATGATCTTCTTCTCTATCTTTTAGGGTGATCTCCCACGTGAGAAGAGAGCCAAGGAGTTCATCTAACTCAAGTGTGTTGAGATTGTGAGCTTCCTTAATTGCCGTTGCTTTTGCATCCCATTTTTTGGGTAAGCTTCTTAGAATTTTCCTTGTAAGATCATAGTTAGTCATAGTTCTGCCTAGATGTTTCAAGCCATTTATAATGTCAGTAAATCTCACAAACATTACACTAATGGACTCATTTTCATTCATGCGAAACAATTCATATTGATGCATAAGAATGTCAATTTTGGATTCCTTGACCTGTGAAGTTCCTTCATAAGTAACCTGGAGTTTATCCTAGATTTCTTTAGCTGTGGTACAAGTAGAGACTCTATTATATTCACTAGGACTTATAGCACAATTTAGATTAACTTTAGCTTTAGCATTCAAGGAAATAAGTTTATAATCCTCGGTGTCCTATTCAGCTTCAGTTTTAGGGATTCTTCTTGTGTCCACAGTTTTCATTGGAACAAAAGGTCCATTAACTATAACTAGCCAAATTTGATAGTCTACGGATTGAAGAAAATCTATCATTCTATTTTTCCAATATCCGTAGTTTGTGCCATCGAACCAAGGAGGTCTAGTATTAGATTGACCTTCTTGATGAAGATGACCATTTAAGTTTGCCATGATCGTTCTCTACTACACGTAAGCTTTTTCAATAGAGTTCTTACTCTGATACCAAATGTTGCCCAGGTATAGACTTTAAAGGGGGGGGGGGGGGTGAATAGAGTCTAAGCAAACTAAGGTCAATTTTCGTTTTTAATTCACTAACTATGAGAAAGCTTAACTTCCTTGACAAATATTGAAGAAGGTTAACTAAACTTTAAACTTCAAAAGCCACAATTTATCAAACAAGATATGAAGCAATAAATGTAAGAGATAGAGATAGAAGTTACAAACATTTACTCAGCGATTTTTAGCGAGGTTTGGAAACTCCTACTCCTCGGCTCAAGACCCCTCTTGAGACTTCCCAATTCACTATGGCTTCTCCTTGCGGGTGGAGAGCAAACCTTTTACAAGAAGCTCTTCTTTGCTTCTAAATGCTAAGAGAAACACCTTATCTTAGTCTTCCTTGGGCCACACCAGCCCTTACAAGATTTGAACAAGATTGATGAAGTACAAGATGATCTCTCTTAGATCTAAAATATAAGATTCAGCTCACTCTAGAGTATGTATGAATAACTTGAAGCTCAATACTCTTTGATGATATAAAGTATGTGTATGATGATGAACAAAGGTTATATGATTGCAAAGATGTATATCTTAATGAATGCAATACATTTAATGAAGTTCATAAGTCTTTATATAGACTTCTAGACATGTCTGATAAGTGTTATAGCTGTTGGACACGCTCTTCAAGAAAAAATACCCGTTAGAATTTTGAAATACGCAGTTTCGGTCGACTGAAATGAAACACCCTTGTGTTTCGATCGCCCGAAATGGTTTTAAGATTTGGTCATCATCCTCAGTATCTCTGTTTCAGTAGACCGAAGTAAAATTCACAGTTATTTCAGTCGTCCAAAATGATTTTAAGATTGGTCATCATTCTCAGTATCTTTGTTTCGGTAGACCGAAGTAAAACTCACAGTTATTTCGGTCGTCCGAAATGGACTTTCATTTTCAGGAACACGTTTAGATGATGTTTTACATTTTGGTCCTTTGCTCCTTGGACACTATGAGTGAGATGATATGCATAGTTTTGGAAAAATTGAGTTTCAAGATTTTCATACAAACTTTAACACGGTTTCCTAAAACGCTCACCATCCTAGCTAACCCCATTTTGATAAGATGCTGAAGACTTGTCTTTGACTCTTGATTCCTTAGTCCTTTTCTCATGCCTTGCAATGTCTTGTTTGATGAAGATATTAGTGAACATAGAACATCATTAATGAATTATGATCATCAAAAGCCTTAGATTCAAGGTCAACAATCAATATTGAATGTACCCACCCACGTGGAATGTTTAGAATTGCTGGTCATTAATCCGGCAGCCTCCTAGTGGTCAATCCATTACTAGATGCAATCTACATCCCCACTAACCCATGTTGGATGGCCTAGATGGCCCGATCATACAACCTCTTGAGCAACCCAAGAGTCTTTCACTCCAGCCTTCTCATGCTCACGAGACTCGAACCCAAGACCTCTTATGCGAAATGGAAACTACTAATCTCCATCTACCTATTAGGCAACTTGTTGGTGATGTTTATAAAATAAGAAATAAATATATTTAAAGGATATTTTGAAAATTTAAAACACGGTCCAACAAATGGTGCGGTTATGGAGTGAAAACGGGAATGAGGATGAGGAATATCCCCGCCCCATTGCCATCTTTAATTAGCTTGGGTTGAAGATTTAAATTTAATCAGTCTATTATTATTCAGGAAGCATGAACGTATGACTACCTAAATAAGGATTTAGGTTGAATATAGGAAAATTACCAATGAATTATATTTCTGAATAGTGACTATTAATATGAGTGTGTGTAGCCTTCGGAAGAAATAAATTAAAAATTTAAGGTCACTCATATTTTTTCTTTTTCTATTAAAGTATTAACAAATATTCCAGAATCTAATTTTACTTTGATTTGTCTTTACAGTCATCCTAATTTCTTTTTTCTTTTCTTTTTTTTTTTTCTTTTTTTTTTTTTTTTAATTAAGCAAACAAATTTACAAGTGGTTGAATTAGTTCAGAAATGAAACATGATAGTATCGTTTATCTTTTTTAATTTTTTTTTGAATTATTTTCTAAAATTTAAAAATAATGACATATGCAAACCAAGTGAGAACCAACGAGCCAGTGGCCTAGTGGTATCAGCCTCTTACTTCTCAAAGGAAGATCGGGGTTCAAGTTTCAGAAGAGACGTGTGTATGAGTACAAAATTTTAATAACTATGCGAGCCAGCATAGTCATTTGAATTTTTACAAATTCATCCGTTTCTATTCCAATTGAACTGTTGAAATATATAAATATTTTTATATAATCGTGGAGGGAAATCCTCCACCAATCATAGTGATCCGGTCAATTTCCTTTCAACTATAAATATTTCTATATAATGGTATTGCAAAATCCTCCACCAATCACGGTGTCTCCTTTGAGACATTTTTACACCTTCCATATTCTATTATATTTACCATGCCTATATAAAGGCTTTTTGTACTTAAGCAGTATGCATATCTGAATAATAGAAATGTTGCCCATGGGAGAAAGTGAGGAGTTCCTCTACTAAAGGGAGTTCACCGGAGTTTTCAGGGTCCACGAACGCTATTTATTTTCCTTTCTTTTTAAGTGTTTGTGATTTCAGCTTGCCCATTTCCTTGGGGATGGCTAACTGCTGCAAGAACCATGTAAATCTTTGTGTTTTCCATCCTCTGCTTATTCTTGATTTGCATTTTATATTTGCAAATGGTATCACAGCCTAGATGTTCTTGTGTTATTATGGAGCATATTCTCTATGTCTTCTTCACATTCCTTTTCCGGTATAGTTCCGGTTGGTTTTTCCCGGCATAGTTTTGGTCCGTTTTTCAGATGGTTCAGCACCTTGACGTTCCTCGGTGTAGTTCTGGCCAGTTCTAGTCATTTCCCAACGTTGTTCGGGCCATTTCCCGGAGTAATTCAGGCCATTTCCCTGCTTAGTTCTGGCCATTTTCCCTGGCATAGTTCCAACCATTTTCTCTGGCGAGTTCCAATTTATTTTTCCCGGCAAGATCTGGTCATTTTCCAACAAGATCTTGTCAATTTCTTGGCTTTGTTCCGGACAAAATATATATATATTTCCTAAGCAATATACTATTAAAAACTAGAGCAGGAGGGCCTGCCCCACAACCACCAAGAGAAACAAAGAAAAATCACTTCCATAAATTGGCTAATATAACCTTCAGAACAAAAATGGAGCCAAAGGGAAGCATCAAATGCAAAAGTCTAAATGCCCAACAACAACCTTGGGCACCAAAAACCAGTAACTCCACAAAGCATATCAAAGACTAAATATTATAACCAATTTTATGCTCATTGTCAAAAGCAAGAAAACAAAGCCCAGCTCAGGGATACCACATTGTAGCCCCATCAAAAATTCAAAATCTAGAAATACATAACCAGTATACCACATTAGGGGTGTCAACCAAAGGAAATGAAAAACACATTGATTATTCTACAAAGAAAATTAGTACGTAATTTGTAGACAAACATGCAACAGGGGCTTAGTGCCGTGGTGAAAGACTTGGGTTGGGTTTTCAAGTGTAAAAACATAGGTTCAGATGCCAAAGGTTAGGTTTGTATCCATTATCGGTATCACCACCCTTAATTAACATTAATCAAAATGCACGACACATTTTGAAATATTTTCAATAACGATTAAATTCTTTTAAATGACTGATCTATTAAACTGAAAAACCTATTCATACGGTTGGTTTAATCAACCACATCTAATGTGTGCGGGAAAAATAGTGCCTAAATTGAATTCAAAATATAATTATGTCATCCTGATTGTAGACATATAATTAAGTGGCTTGAGTACAAGCAACTTTATAATAAAAAGGATAATGAAAACCTCCCAAAAAATTACAAGAAAGAGATACACAAAATTTCATCAAAATAATCATAGCTCAAACGGTTTAATCATCTTTGTCTAATTTTCACTATATAACTAACACAGATTTTCAACATACCATTCACGGAAAAAACAAGAAAGAAAAGGAAATCAGCCCACTAGTTGCAGATCAGTCTCTATGTATAACGTCCAACGCAGTATTCAACAACCATCCATTTCCAGAGAAGGAAGAAACACACAAAGTAAATCAGCCACAGCAACATCATCATCACTGCTATTTTTTCCACACGAATGGGGTCGGCCACATAATGTTACTGCAAGTGCTGGGGCTGCTCATCATTCCCATCAATGCAGTTGGGTGAGACCAGACTCTCCACATACCAAATCGGTCTAGAAATATGGGGACAATTAAAAATTTTCGTCAATGTATTTCCTTTAGTATTGTAAGATACAAAATTTGTGTCAAGAATGTTGTAGGATCCTGATTTCAATTGATCAAACTTCAGTAAAAGTTTACCATTACTCAAGAAACACAATGGTGCGAAGTGACTTAAGGGTCTGTCCCTGTCATATGGGAGGGTAATAAACTTAGTCCAAGATTCCTTCACGCCATATTCTTTCATCAACCACACCTCAACCAATCCTCCATTAACATCATATGAGCGAGAAAGTGCATACAAACATCCTTCGAAAGCTCCCAATATGTCAAATGACAAATCCGTTCTGCCCTGAATATTATCTAGGGACATCTCACTAAATACCTCCTTACATAAATCGAAAGAAAAAATTACCCTTGGTATATCAATGCCGACCCTGGGTATCAGTAGCCAATGAAGAGCTCCATTCAAGAAGGTTCCATTACTAGGCACGAAAAATCTTTCATGATAACTACGACTCAGGTCTTGTATTGTTCTCCAAGAATTGTGTCTAAAACTAAACATATAGAATCGGATAGTCTCATATTTATTAATAGTTCCCGCTCCCAAAACTATCTTGTAATCATCTTTAGAGGAGTCAAAAGCAAACCCATAACATAAGACGGTTAAGACCATAAGTTGACGAACAATGGGTGGTTCTGGCAATTCCTTGCAGACTCTAGTGGAAGGGTTGTATATGACAACCTTGAATTCATCAACAACATAACAAATCAAACCATTGCAAGAAGCAATTATACATTGGTAGATGTGATATCGACTCCACCGTGGAAAATCCAACTTCACTAGTGCTTTCCTTTCGTAGTCTATGAATTGGGGAGGTGGATTAGAGGAAAAGATTTTCTGGCGGTTCTCTGATCTATTGAGATGCAATTTAACGAAATAGGGATCAGAAATTAGAGAACGATATTGGTTGGATACGCACCTGAATCTCAAAAGAGATTTAACTGGAAGTCTTGAGAGTATGTCCACCTCGATTTCTCGAGGTAGGTTCAGCGACGATTCCATTGTCATCATATGGTTTGTCTAAAAGATGATGGTTGGAACAAACCCTAGGACCTGATTGTCTGGACTCTTGAGAGAAAAGTGGCGAGGATTATTCCGTGTGTGTATATATTTTGATAGAACGCGAATACGCCGAAACTGATCAATAAGGAAATCAAGGAGGATAATTGAATTTATTAAATATATATATATATATATATATATATATATATATATTATTGTCTTTATTTATTATTTCCTGATTTTGTAATTATTAATTATTGGTGCATTTGTGATTGGATTATGCAATAAGTAAGAATGACTTACTAACGGGGAAGTAGGCAAAGTCTTGTCTTTTTTTATACCCTCCAGTATCCTTAGGCTTGCCCCGACTAAGTTTCGTCGACCCCGTATATAGCTGGATATGGTAGCGGAAGCATGGCCCAAGTAGTCGTCATTTCCTAATGACTACATTAATTAAGGATCAACATAGGCTTTTCTTGCCTAGTTGAAAATTAATAAAACTCTAAAGAAATTAAAAAGTAGGACTCAAGAAGCTCGATATCCTCTCCTGCGAATTGAAAGGTCTTTTGCTTTTAAAGACCACCAAGTCTTATAGATTTTCAATAAACTCATTAAGTTCTACGTTGAAATACTTTTTCACATAAGTTTAAATATCTCAATATTCTATCGATATCTTTCAAACATGTATAATAGTTTTTTAGAAATTGTAATATATATATATTTTTATTACATTCCAAAATATAAGAAAAGTATTCCAATGATCTCCAAATAAAAATTAATAATACTAATTTACTGAGAAAAATAAAACTTTGTAGAGAAAACTAAAATTGAATGATAAATTAGTCGAGAAGCTCCAAAGACTTAATTGTCTCGTTAAAAATTGATAAAAACTTTAAGAAAAATTAGGGTTAGGAAGCACGATATTTTTCTAGAAGGTGGTAACGGGCATAACCGAATACGTGTACATTCCTACTAGAAGTGTATTCAAGTTTAATATTTTTTTATGGTGAATAAAAAACTTAATTTACATAATTCATTAAAATTTTTTTTTATAATTGTATTTTGATTTGATATTTTTTAATTACGATAATTGTAGAGACATACTTAACAAAGATATAGAGTTGTTAAGAAACATAGAGTGCATAAGAGAATTCTATATACACTTGTAAATATATTTAAAAAGATTAATAGAGGAAAGCAAATTAACGATAACCTAGTATAATTATTTGTTCTTTCTTTTTCCTTCAATTGACAATTTGTTCGGCTCGCGAGAAAGCACTGGTTCCGCTTCTCGGATTGGGTGGAAATGTGGAATAGAATAGTGTGGTGTGCGGGCGTGCCAGGAACTGCAATAGTTCCAAAAGTAGAAATCTGAACGGTTATCTAGTTGGAAAGTTGTAGGGATCAGGCGATTGTACGAAGGTCTGGAATGACCACATTCGAAGGGTCTTTTTTGCCTTTGAAGAAGGACTTCAAACTATTCTACGGCTAATGGAAATGAAGACGATATTGAAGGTGTAAAGCTGGAAATTAAAGTAATTGAGAGGGACTGCCTTCAACAAAAGTAGCCGGCCTACTGAGTTGGAAAGCTGACTGTTGGGTCTTTTCAGAATTGTTTGGCTGAGGGGCCAAACCTTGGTTCGTGCTTCCAAGGGTCTATTCCAATATAGACTCGAACCTTTGAGAGATTCGGTCTACTATTTCTTCTAGCTTCCGCTCATTAACTAGAGCGGCTTTTGCATGATCTTGGCTAGCCTTAGACTGGTCTTACGCAACTCTGGCTAAGTCTTGAGTGACTCTTGCTTAGTCTTGCGCAAACCTATTTTGTTGCATAGCCATCATGCGGATGTTGTCCATGATAAGTCCTTTTGCCATGGTTTGGGCAAAATTTTCCACCATGTCACTTTCATCAGGTGTAAACCGTGAACCTTCAGTTGGAAGGTTACTGGCTTACAATTCATCAATCTCGGAAGGGTCTTGGATAGACTTGCCTTGCCTTCTTCCACCGGCCATTGAACAATCTGTCTAGAGGTCTCGCCGGGCGTGCCAATATGTTCGGCTCACGAGAAAGCGCTGGTTCCACTTTCCAGATTGGGTGGAAATGTGGAATAGAATAGTATGGTGTGCGGGCATGCCAAGAACTGCAATAGTTTCAAAAGTAGAAATCCGAATGGTTATCCAGTTGGAAAGTTGTAGGGATCAGGCGATTGTACGAAGGTCTGGAATGACCACCTTCGAAGGGTCTTTTTTGCCTTTGAACAAGGACTTCAAACTATTCTATGGCTAATGGAAATGAAGACGGTATTGAAGGTGCAAAGGTGGAAATTAAAGTAATTGAAAGTGCAAGACTGAAAATTAAGATAACTGAAATGCATGACTGGAAATTAGAGAATTGAAGTGCAGTGCTTGGAAATTAGAGTGTTAAAGTGCAGTGCTTGGAAATTAGAGAATTAATGTGCAGTGCTTGGCTGAAAGTAACAAAAGGAGTACAGGACTGGAAATTCATCGCAGGGAATGAAAGCTATATAGAATAGCAAAGTGATGGACTTAACTTAAAAGTATGTAAATTCATTGCTGGAATAGAAAGTACATGAACTGGCAAAGTGCTAGGTTTAGACATAATGTAAATTCATTGCTGGAATGAAAGGTACATGAAATAGCAAAGATGCTGTGTTTGTATGCTGGGCAGGCAGGGTTTGCAAACTAGCCTTGGGTGCTCTATTTATAGAGCACTTTATTGCATGCAACAACTTGATGTGGCAACTCAGCAGCTTCTACATCAACTTATTCTGGACTGCCAAGTGTCCCATGTTCTCTTGGCAGTTGTAATTTCTTTTCAGTTAAACTTCTTCTTGTTCCTTATTTCTTCTGATGCACAACTCAAGCCATGTTTGTAGTAGTCATTCACGAACTTGCACCGTGGGTAGTTTTTGGAATGAAATTCCACTTGTCTTCTTCACAATTTGACACGCGTCCCACGTCTTCTTATTCTTCTTCCGTCCTCCATGAATTCTTCCTCCAATTTATACATGATTTAATCACCTTAAACCCATCATCTAAAATCCACATCAACCATTTTCAGTTAGTGGTAGTAGTTACATGAGACACTTCCACTTTCAACTGATCTTATTCCACGATCTCTTGTAATCCCTTCCTTCTTTTGTATAATTTCTATATATATTATGCATGTATATAGAAGTTATTTGCAGACCACGTTCTCCTGGCTTTGGGTAACTTCCTTCCAATTGAACTTTCCATTTTGGTCTTTGTATCATGATGCTGTGGCCCCTTTCTTTCAGCGATTTCTTCATCGTGGAAAATATATATATATATATATATATATATATCCATGAATACATCATCCCCCACATTTGCTGACCATTATCTCCATATTTTAATAACCTTCCTTAATCAAACTTTCCCTTCTTGCTTGATGGCGTCGTGGTCTCTTCTTTCAGCGATTTCCCTTTCATGAGTCATATCTGATACATAAATATATATCCATAAATACAGATATTCCCCACGTCCTTTATTCCTCTATAACTTTCCTCAACCAAACATTCCTTCCTGTTTTCATGGCATCACGCTCTCAGGGCACAAACGACTTCTTTTAAATCATGGGTTTAATATATATATATATATATATATATATAAATATATTAAACCCACGGTTTTGCAGAATTACAGCACCAAATACTGACTAGGTCTGAACAAGCCGTTGAGATTTCCTAAAAATAAGGATAAATTCTAGGCCCACGTTCTCCTCCCTTGACTTGGTCATTCTTGAAAGAATTAATCCACCGTGGCAAGTTCAATAAGACTCGCCATGTGTTAATAAATCATTTGTTGGCTAATCTGTGACTTTAAACTTCTCATTAGATTGCACTCATAATAGTAACTCCATGCCACCTTTTTAGGACATTATATCCCAAACTTGGTAAGTCCTAATGGGACTCACCACTTTCCTTCAATTCAATAATTCCACGTGGTGGAACTTCTCTCGACCAATCACTCTTTTAATGAAACTACATAATTTCAATGTCCCAAAAGAATATATTAACAGCGTGGTGAGTTCCATTAGACCTTGCCATATTTCTCTTTTCTAGTGGTAACCCATGTCAATAATTACATGTCACGCCTTTTTTTATTGGATAATTAGTGTAGAAACCCCATATGGTAAACTCGCTAAAATTTGCCATTTGTCATCTTTCCATTGGACAAAAATAATGGAGTAAACATATGCCCTTCAAATTCCATGCCTTGTGGAACAACTTGATGACAAGGCATGGGATTTGAACCCTCGCCATCATGGCCTACTTAATCTTCAATGTTCTATAGCTGGCTTATGAGTTCCATCCATACCAATCTCTTTTGCCGCTAACCATAAACATATCATAAAAAATCTTATCTGTTTCTTTCTTTTAAATTTCAAAATTCCATCTAGACCCCTTCTGAATATGCCCTTAGAAACTCGAGATAATTATTAAAGGGAAAATTTCAATGTAACATGTGGCTGCTCCCTCGGCTTCTTCTCTATCACTGATTTTGTATCCCAAAGGAGTCCTATCCATTTATGGCTTAGTGCTGTCAGACTTCCCAATCCTCATTATTGCCTTTTTAAATTTCGAAAATCCTCCAACTAATCCTTCTTAAAAAAGGCATCCTTGGACTCCGGAGACTTACCACAATCAAATCAAATCTTCCACGTGTTATTCGGCTGGTCTCTTGATTCTTTCTATGCTACTCTTTCCTGCCGCTAAACACGTTTCATCTTCAAATAGACTTCTTATCTATTTATGGTAGTACATCATTCAGCTTCCAAAACTCTTAAGACTTCCCCTTTTGAATTTCGACCCCAACCAACAATCCTCGAAAAATGTCTTTAGTCTTTAATACCTTCCTTATTACTCCTATATATATATGTATACCTTCTGTCCTTATCACTTAGCCAAAACCCTTTTCTTCTATCTTCTCCTTTTTTCCTCTCCAAACAGAAACCCTAAAAGAAAAAGACCTCAGTCACGAATCATGGCTCCTAAGAATCCCTCCAAACAAACCACTAGTTTATCCCTGCCAGCCCCTTCCATTCAAACCAAAGTCAAAACTCGTAGTCATAGCCACCAAGTTCAAATTCTTTTGAAGTCTTTAAACCATGCCAGACTTCATCTCGAGCCTTTAGTTGATCTCAAAGACTTTTCAGTTGGACTGGGTCCAGCTTTCACTGACGTAGCCCCCTCTGAATTGGCTGAATTCTATCCTTCCTATAAATCCCCTCTCCCCTTTGAGTCAGAATTTCCTTTTATCTCAAAGAAAGGGAAAAAGGTGAAACCTTCTTTCAACATCAGAAATTGGCCAACATACCGCTCATCTTGGTCCTCTTAGGTAAGTCGCCTTTCCAAAGATGAAAAGATTTCTTTGCAGTGGAAAAAATAAGGCATATTTGACATCATTTAAATTAGTAAGTCTTCTATTACACTTGATCCGAACCTTCTCTTTCCAGCTCTCTTCTTTTGGTCTTCAACCACTAATTCTCTTCACCTTAAATGTGGCATGATGTCTCCCACTTTGAGAGATATTTGTTGTATTACAGGTCTTAAACCCCATGGAGATGATGTAAGTGCCACACTCTATATTGATCATTTTCTCTTTCCTACCAAAAACACTGGAAGTAAGAAATTCATCTCCTCTTATCTTCCTTTTATCAAACATTGCAAGAAAAACGGGCCAGTTCAAGAAGAAGAACACATTGCTTTCCTGATCTGTTGGCTTTCTGGCCATTTGTTGTGTGTTCTATCTAGCTAAGTTATAAAAGACTTTGTCCAAGTAGCCATTTCCTTAGCCAGAAACGGAGACTTGGCCCTGGCCCCTCTTGTGCTTTCTCACTTATACAGAGGCTTGAACGACTTGCTTTTTTCAAAATTTTCAATGTTCCAAGGTCCATTTTGGTTATTCCAGATGTGGCTTAAAGTGTATTTTCAAAGTAGAACTTCACCCCTAGCCACTCAAACTAGAAAATCCCTCTTATGCTATTCCCTGGCAACAACAGACCCTTCTCCTTTCAGCTTTGCTGAAAACTTTGAATATTTCTATAATCAATATGAAACTAGAGATGATGGATTCTTTGACCCATTTACTTCCCTTAATCGTATGCCATCATGGTTGGTTCCTTTTCCTTGAGTGTCTACCACAAAACATTCGGAAGATTGGAAGAACATTTGGGCTAGCTTTCTTCTTGCCCGTGATCTTTATTATAGCATTGCCCAGCCCACTCTAAGGAATAGCTTTTGCGGTGTTGAGTTCTACAATCCAGCCCAATTAGTTAGACAAATGGGTTTTACCCAAATGATTCCTTTGCCACCTTGTAAGTCCTATAACAGGTTCTTTAACCAACGAGTAAGGCTCACCGATGCATAGCAATTTGCAGCAATTAACAAAGCTTATGTAGCGGAAAGAACAACTTTCAACTTCTAAGGCTATACTAGCAAGCCTCGGTCAACCAATAAATTTGATGTATGGTGGTCAACTTATATTTCTTCTACTTGAACAAAAAATCAAAATGGTTGTCTGTGACTCCATCTTAGCTTCCTTCAAGCCTTTATCTCTAGGTACAAATATATTTATTGCAAATTTCCCTTTTCATCTTCCCTTTTGAATTTTGTCAACCTTCCTAATACTAGAAACTAATCTGATGATTCCTAGATGAAGAAGAAGAAATACTTGAGGAGAGTGAGGAGGATGAAGGTGGAGAGAAAACTACTACAAAGCCCAGCAAAATTGAAGGGATGGCCGAAAGTGGAGATGTTGATAAGCGCTGAATACTGTATATTCAAGCGCCCTAAATTACATTAACAAAGTCCATTAATTGATTATTTTATGTAGATTAACTCCATTTGCATGTTTTTTGTGCATTTTCAGGTTAAAGTGCAAAAAGGAAGCAAAAATGATGCCTTGTGGAATTTTGAACAAAAAGGGTGCCAATTCTGAATTTCTGGCAGCAGTAGAACCTGATTTTTGTCGCCATTTTCGACCTAGCAAACTCAAGAACTGGACTTCCATCATAACATGAAAGATTTAGAGCTCTGAATCAGCTTTCCAAATCTTTAAGTGGTTCATCATTCGGAGTTCGGAGCAGAGAGTTATGATCTTCTTAACAGAGGTGTGCAGAACTGCCTGGCAGCACTGAAGTACTGCTTTTCTCCCCATTTTCGACCAACCAGACTTGAGAATTGGGTCTTCATCAAAACATGAAGTTTTTAAAGCACTGAATCAGCTCTGTAAATCTTCAAACAGATCGTCATTTGGAGTTCGGGGCACAAAGTTATAGCCATTTTACCAAAGTAGGTCAGTGCTGAGCAAGAAGAGCATGTTGCACATTACACTAATTTAGAGTGCTCGAGACCACCCTTCGAGTGCTCGAAATTCTGGCAGATTGCACTCGGAAATGGCTCAATTCAGCCACTTGCACATTGGTTTCCTCAATGCCATCTTCCTTCTTTATGAAGTGGTTGGAGGTGTTCCTTGGAGGAGAGAGAGCCTTGACTTGAGCTTGATAAGAGAGAGGGAGGACCACACATTTTACATTATCCTATATTCTAGCAAGATAGAGGAGAGTAGAGAGCAAGGAAGAGGGTGTTCTTGAGTGCTACAATAGGAGCACGAAAATGGAGTCTTGGATGGAGCTTCTTCCTTCTTCTAGCTCAGCAATGGGTAACTAACTCCTTATCTAGGGAGGTGATGAAACCCCTCCCTTGTAAGCATGTGTTAGTATAGTTTATTTTTGGGGATTACAATGTATTTTTGATAGTCTTTCCATGATCAAGAGCCTCATTTTTGTTGTAATGAATGTTGAATGTTTATAAATGATTATTGTGAGTTATTCATCTTGTCTTGGATGGTTACTTTTCTTAATCATATTGCTTGCACTTCCATGGTGACAATGGAAGTTAGATCATGGAATGGTTTTAATGGCATGGAGTTGGAGAACCTAGATAGTTCATGGCTTAGGGTTTCCCTTTGATGGTCTATACTTGATTTTTAGCTTTATGTGCATTCACCATTTAAATTAGGGCTTGATAATCCTTGACTTAGTAAGCATGTTCTAAGCTACATTTTAGTTTAGGTAGTTGATCATGTGAACCTTTGATGGTTTATTCTTGCCTTTCTATTTGAATGAACTTCTTGAGGATATTATAGCAACCTAGTATTGTTATATATCATGACTATCATATATGTTGTTTTTCCCTTAAATTAATCTTAACCTAGCATGTGTATAGGGATGCAGGTGGATTCATTTCCCTAGCCTTCTTTACTTGTACTTCACTCCCTTGAATTCTTGCAATTTATTGTTTTATGCACTTTTAATTTCCTAGCTTAAGTGACATCCAACAAAACCTTTATAAACCCTTCATCATTCTAAGAATGATTCTAGACATTTAGGTTGTCTTAGACTAGCGCAGTCCCAGTGGTTCGACTTACCCGACCAATGGCCCTATTTTACAATGATTCGTGCTATTGCGAAGAGGGTTGATTTATAATTGATTTCGACCGTCGATCAATTTTTGGCGCCGTTGCCGGGGACTTGTATACGGTTTAGCGACCAAAGTTCTAGGGTTAAATTTAGTTTGATTGTGCATATTGTGTTTTGTGCATTTTTTTCGTGTGGTTTAACCATTTTCGTGTTGTAAGATTCTAGGGACTTGAAGCGCCGTGGGAATGCTAGCAAATTGTAAGTCTAGAGGACCCCAGGTAAGTCTCTTGACTTCTAGTTTCAACTTGTAGATACAGTACATGTGTTAATTTTAGAAGTAGTTAATTTAGTTGTGAAGCCCTTGTAGAGGCTATTATCTTGTTTAATTTCGTGTACAAGCATCGGTCCTTGTCGTGGCCATTTATTTTCTGTCTTGATAATTGAGGAGAAAGGGAACATCGTATGTGGAGTATTGATGATGAATTGTGTTGTTGAATATATGCTTTGTTGTTGATGTTTGGCCATAGGTCACTCTCTCTACCCACACTTGACTCGCCTATTGATATAAATTCACTTGAAAGAACTCTTAGACAAAACCTTAGGGAACCCACTCTTACAAGGGATCTTGAAACTGAATTCAATACAATGGGGGATAACGCAGGAAATCCGGGGAATGAAAGGGCTGAAATTCCTAATGTAGAACCAATGACTCTTAGAGATCATTTCATCCCTACCACCTATGCTTCTCCTTCTTGCATAGTAATGCCAAACATCGATGCAGCTCAATATGAGATCAAATCAAGCACCATCCAAATGCTTCCATCATTTCATGGCTTTGATAATGAAGATCCATATAAGTATCTTGATGAGTTCCTTGAAATCTGTTCGACCATCCGGTTGAGAGGTTTTCCGGACAATGCACTCCATCTCCATCTTTTCCCATTCTCCCTAAAGGATAGGGCAAAATATTGGTTGAACTCCCTCGCCCCCAATTCCATTACTTGTTGGGCTCAATTGCAATAAGAATTCCTTAAGAAGTATTATCCGGTGAGTAAAACCAACCAAATGAGGTGTTCCATTCTAAGCTTTTCTCAAGTTGATGGAGAACAACTCCATGAGACTTGGGAAAGGCTACAAGATCTTCTTCGGAAATGTCCTCATCATTTGATCCCAAAATGGCAATTAGTGCAAGCTTTCTATGCCGGCTTGACCGAAACCCATAGATTCATGGTTAATTCTTCTTGTGGTGGGATGTTCATGTCCAAGAATGCAGATGAGGCTTGGACCCTACTCGAGAATTTAATCGAAAATTCACTTCAACATAATTCTCGTAGGGCTCCGACCTCAACCATTGCAATGAACACCAACCCTTGTCAACCAAAATCAATAAGGGAGGAATCATCTCAAGTGGATGCCATCGCTCATAAATTCTACCAATTGATGGCACCACATCTTCCTCCTTCATTGTCTCAAAATTCGGCAAGTTCAGTTTGTGCTTCATGTACTAGTCCATTCCATTTCTCGGAAGATTGCCCCACACCGGAGCAATTTCCCAATTCCAACCAAGAGCAAGCTAATGCCATGTTCTCGCGGCCCGGGAACAATCCATATTCCAACACCTACAATCCGGGTTGGCCAGATCATCCGAATTTCTCATGGCGGCAACAAGCCCCACCAAATTCCTAATTCCACAAAACCAAGGGCGGCAAAATTAGCCCTTTTCTCAATATCAAGGTAGACCTTTCCAAGCCTCTTCAAGCTACCGTCCTCCTTATAATCCAAATGTCTCCAATCAACCTCCTGTGTGTCCAACTGACGAGATAGTAGCTGCAAACAAGCAAATGATGGAATCATTAAATAAGCAAATAATGGATGCCAACAAGCAACTCTTGACATCCTTGCAGCCTACTCTCCAAATGGTTCACTCTCATACTCAATCCATAGCTAATATCGAAAATCAAGTGGGCCAAATAGCTAACTCAGTGAATCAATTGCTTCAAAAGGACAAGGGCAAGCTTCCCTCTCAACCTTTTGAAAATCCTAGAGGAATGCATGTGATTGATGAAACCCCTCCTCCGAGTGGGCCGACTCATGAACAAGTTCAAGCTATCACCACCCTTCGGAGTGGTAGAGTGGTTAATAACAAGGTCGATGGATACAAAAGTAAGGAAGTTTCTCCTTTGAAAAATCCAAATCCAAGCTCTTCTAATCCAAATCCAAGCTCTTCAAATCCAAATTCTTGTCCAAATACCATTCACGGAAATCCCACACATGTCACCCCAAATGTGGAAACTACTTATGAGCCAAAAACTCTGTTTCCTTAACGTCTTCAAGAGTCGACACATTTTGGGAACAAGAATTGTAAAATTCAAGACATGTGGGAAGTTTTCAAGCAAGTGAAGATTAACTTGCCCCTTTTGGATGCTATCAAGCAAATCCCTCCCTATGCAAAATTTCTCAAAGATTTGTGCACTCAAAAGCGTACTTCTAAAAATCATTTGCCAAAAAAAGTGAGGTTGACTGAAAATGTTAGTGCTATCATTCAGCACAGCACTCCTCCGAAGTATAAGGATCCGGGTGCCCCCACAATCTCTTGCGTCATTGGTGACAGCAAAATCGAGAGGGCCCTCCTTGACTTAGGAGCTAGTATGAATTTAATTCCATATTCAGTCTACCTACAACTTGGTTTGGGAGATCTTAAGCCGACTTCCGTGGTTTTGCAACTTGCCGATAGATCGGTCAAGCATCCACGAGGCATTCTTGAGGATGTTATCATTAAAGTGGACAAATTCTACTTCCCAATAGACTTTGTGGTTCTTGATACGGAACCGGTCCATGACCCAAAAAAGCACATTCCCGTGATCCTTGGTAGGCCATTTTTAGCCACGGCTAATGCATCAATTAATTGCCGAACCGGGGTGATGGACATTGCTTTTGGAAACATGCAAGTCAAACTCCACATCTTTCATGCAACTCAACATCCCTCCAATGAGGATGATTGTTTTCTTGTGGATGTTATTGATGAAGTGGTCGAAGAATCTCTCCCCTTCATTCTAAGCAAAGATCCTCTTGAAATTTGCATGTCTTATTTTGACTTCTCAAACTTTGATGTTGATCAGGCCATTCAAGAAGTCAATTCCTTGCTTAATATTAATGCTCTCATGGATGTACCTCCTTAGAAAATTCCAAAAGAACCACTTCCCCAACTTTCCACCACTCCTCCGGTCCCATCATTGCTATCTCCGCCACAACTTGAGCTTAAGCCGCTCCCGGCCCATCTCAAGTATGTGTTCCTTGGTCCAAAGCAAACCCTTCCGGTCATCATTGCCTCGGACCTTCAAAAAGACCAAGAGACCAACCTTTTAGCGGTGCTCCAAGAGCATAAAGAAGCTATTGGTTGGACAGTGGCAGATTTGAAAGGAATTGACCCCTCCATTTGTGTGCACCGCATTCATATGGAGGATGACGCAAAGCCTACTAGAGAGGTCCAGCGCCGGTTAAATCCAAATATGAAGGGAGTGGTCATGAAAGAGGTGATCAAATTGCTAGATGCGGGAATCATCTACCCTATCTCTGATAGCAAGTGGGTGAGCCCCACACAAGTTGTGCCCAAGAAATTCGGTCTCACCGTTGTTGAAAATTCAGCGGGTGAGCTCGTGCCACAACGGACTACCACCGGGTGGCGTGTGTGCATTGATTACCGGAAACTCAATTCGTCAACTAGGAAGAATCATTTTCCACTTCCATTCATAGATCAAATCCTAGAAAGGTTAGCCGGCCAAAGCTTCTATTGTTTTCTTGATGGTTATTCCGGCTATAACCAAGTGGCAATCGCCCCCCAAGATCAAGAGAAAACAACATTCACATGTCCCTTTGGTACTTTTGCCTATCGACGCATGCCTTTTGGTCTATGCAATACGCCGGCAACATTCCAAAGGTGCATGATGTCCATATTCTCCGATATGGTTAAAAAGTTCTTGGAAGTTTTCATGGACGATTTTTTCGTATTTGGCTCCTCCTTTGACTCGTGTCTCAAAAATTTATCTCTTGTGCTCCAAAGATGCAAAGAGACGAATCTCATTCTAAGTTGGGAGAAAAGCCACTTCATGGTCCAAGAAGGCATTGTTTTAGGACATGTCATTTCTAAGCGGGGAATCGAGGTAGACAAGGCAAAAGTTGAGTTAATCTTTAATCTTCCTCCTCCGAATTCCGTCCGTCAAATCCATTCTTTTCTTGGTCATGCCAGATTCTATTGTCGCTTCATCAAAGATTTTAGCAAAATTTCACGGCCCTTGTGTAATCTCTTAGCCAAGGATGTTCCGTTCAATTTTGATGACGCTTGCATGGAAGCTTTCATCAAACTTCGCACTCTCCTCTCATCCGCCCCAATCATGAAACCCCCTAATTGGTCTCTTCCCTTTGAGATCATGTGTGATGCATCCGAC